GTCCTAGTGGTATTCAGGCAAAACATAGGAGAGAGAGTACCCCAGAGAAAACATCACTGCCTGATGTGATAATGGAAGGGGGACTCCCCTTCCAAACAGTAACAACTCTCCTCCTCCCCCCTCATCACCATCTTCCATACGCCATCAAGAGCCCTCCATAAAGATAAGAGAAACTTAAGTACTGTATTGTAGTTAGAAAAAACATTGTATTCAGTATAAAATGTAATTGTATGTTAATATTTTGGAGGGTGGGGAACGGATTAATTCAATTCCCCTTATTTCTTATGGGAAAATCGCTTCGACTTAAGATATTTCGACTTACTATCCATCTCCGGGAACGGATTAGCACCGCAAGTTGAGGTCCCATTGTACTATGTACCTCGACCTGCCCTGGTAACTCTTTATTACTCGCTCATCTATCCTCATCTCAATTATGGTACGTGTGCTAGGGGTGCTACTGCCCAAAATCATCTATGTCCTCTATATACTCAACACAAATCAGCTATTAGAACAACAACAAACTCAAGCCCCAGGCAGCACTCGGTTCCCTCACTTAAATCTCTGATTATGTTAGATATTAAGTCGCTACACATCCACTCAGGTGTACTCTACAGTATATATAAAACACTGAACTGCAAAGCAAATCCTGACCTTAAACACTTCCTAGAGGGCTGTAACAGAACCTCACTAGAAACAAATATCTGTGATATTCCAAGAGTGTGATGCAACCAAAGTAGAAATGCTCTGGAAATCAAGGATCCCAAAATGTGGAATGAACTCTCAAATCACACCAAAGACTATTTCTCTCAACCAGATTAATTAAAACAGAAACTAAGAACTACCAAATAAGCTCTGTAACCTACCTTACTTCTTAAATATCAACCTATGTTTTGCTGTTACTGAACATTAATTATTGACCCTGTACCGCTGCTGTTATTTACCATATAAAAAAATTGTGTTCCTTCTGTATTTTGTGTAAAATTACAATCTGTTGCTCTGTTACAATTTTACTGTTACATCCACCATGTAATAATTGTAATTTTATTTGTCTACTTAATTGTTTTATTTAATTTAAGTGTAAGTGTTTTTTCTCAACACTATGCCCAAAACACTGTGTATTCATGACTTCAGTCGTCACTCACCAGGACCCCCAGTCACCATTCAACAGGACCATCAGTCACTACTCAACCGGACCCTGAAGTCACTCTCAACAGTACCCTCAGTCATCACACACCAAGACCCCCCCCCCCCAGTCACCACCCAGCAAGACTCCCAGTTATCAGTCAACAGGACTCCTAGTCACAATTCAGTCAGCACTTACCAGGATCCAAAGTAGTAGGCATCCATCAGTCTCAGGAGACTATGGAGTGGCCTCACAGGGCGCAAAGCCAGAATAGGTTGATATGGAGAAGAAGCTGTCACCCATGAAGCAGGTTCCCCCTCCCCCCCTCTCCATGGCACCAAAAGTCTCCAATGGAAAGGCAAATGCCAATACGATTGGTTCCAGCGCCGTTGCAGGAACTGTCAAAATGAGGTTGAAGGCAACAACAAACAGCCCAAGGGGCTCCAGCTCTGGAATGTACCTCGAAGTTGGTAAAAAGACACAGGGACTCTAAACCCAGAGACCGCTGTGGTTGGGGCCAGAGGAGAACCACCCAAGCAGAGGCAAGAACGACCCCAGCAGAGGCAAGAATGACCCCCCCAGCCTCCTGAAGCAGAGCTTGGGCCACATGAGCCCCAGGAGGTGGATGTCCGAGCCCCACACCTACGGGTTCCAGACAGAGATCGTCACAGCCCCCTTCACCCAAGACCGGCTTTCTCAATAACCCAGCAGAAGGAAGAGTAACAATTATTAATTACAACAATTATTATTATAATTATAATAATATAATTAATTAATAATTAATAAGGAGATATATATAGGCCACCAAATTTAGACAGAATGGAAGCAAAGCATCTATGGGATGAAATATCTAGAGCATCTAGATCTAACAGTATTTATGTCATGGGTGACTTTAATTTTAGTGGAATAAACTGGGTGAACAAAACAGGGAATAGTGAAGCAGAAGATTTTCTAGAATTAATTGACGATTGCTTTCTTACGCAACACATTAAGGAACCAACGCGGGAAAATAATACTGTATTTTAGATTTAGTGTTAACTAACAGGGAAACACAAATTAATGACATCGAAATAGGGAGTGAGCTAGGGAACAGTGATCACAAAGTAATCAGATTTAGCATAGAATGGAATAGACCTGTAGGAGAAAATTCTGTTAAAGTGCCAGATTTTTGAAAAGCTGATTTTAATAGCCTAAGAAATTTTTTGGGTCAAATTGATTGGAAAGTCTTGGGTATGGGGTGTGGGCCGGTCTTGGAGCGAGACATGAACCCAGCGATAGGTGACGCAAAAGGGGATTTCGATGTGGATTTAATATACTGTATAACTTATTTAAGAATATTCTAAACAAAGCACAGGAACGTAGTATACCATACAAATTGAATAGATCGAATACTAATGACCCAAAGTGGATAACAAATAATTTAAAGAACCTTATAGGTAAAAAGAGAGCTTGGTACAAAAGGATTAAGAATGGGGAAGTCAGTTTAGAACAGGAATTCATACAACTGGTTAGAAATGTTAAAAAAGAGATTAGGAAAGCAAAAGGAAACTATGAAGTTCGCATAGCAGAGCAAGCAAAGTCAAATCCTAAAGGTTTTTTTCAGTTATATCGAACTAAGACTAGGGAAAGGATAGGTCCATTAAAATCTGAGACAGGTCAAATAACGGATAATGACAAGGAGATGAGTAGTATTTTTAACAAATATTTTATATCTGTATTTACTAAAGAAGAACTTAACAATATGCCTTCAGCCGAACAAGTCTATGTGGGTGGGGATGAGGACAGGTTGACTAGTTTAGCAGTTACCAGGGAGGATGTAATTAAACAATTAGAAAAACTAAAACCAAACAAATCCCCAGGGCCGGATGAAGTGTTTGCCAGGGTGCTTAAAGAATGCAAAGAGGAGTTTTCCGAGCCACTGTCTACCATATTTAATAAATCAATAGAATCAGGCAGAGTGCCAGAGTCATGGAAGGTAGCTAATGTGGTACCAAATTTTAAGAAAGGAGATAGATCACTTGCGTCAAACTATCGGCCAATTAGCCTAACGTCTATTGTGGGAAAGTTACTTGAATCAATAATTGCAAATACAATTCGTCTCCGTCTTGAAAAACATAAATTAATAAATGAGTCGCAACATGGTTTTACAAATGGCCGTTCATGTTTAACAAATTTGCTAACTTTTTATTCCAGCATAGTTGAGGCAGTTGATAGTGGTAAGGATTGTGATGTTGTGTACCTTGACTTTAGCAAAGCTTTTGGTACAGTGCCACATGAAAGACTAATTAAAAAAATACAAGCTCATGGTATTGGGGGTGCTATATTAAGTTGGATTAGGGCATGGCTATTCCAAAGGAAACAGAGAGTTAGTATAAATGGGGTTAAGTCAGTGTGGGATAATGTTGTTAGTGGAGTACCTCAGGGCTCTGTCCTGGGACCTCTGTTGTTTATAATATATATAAATGATTTAGATTCAGGTTTGAGTAGCAACATTTGCAAATTTGCAGATGATACGAAAATCGGTAGGGAAATTAATTCGGAGGAGGACTCACTATCACTTCAAGTTGATCTAGATAGGATTTTGAAATGGTCAAAGGATTGGCAAATGCAGTTTAATGCTGATAAATGTAAAGTTCTGAGGCTAGGTAATGATGATAGAGTTACAAGATACGAGCTAGATGGTGTTGAGATTGCGAAGTCGGATTGCGAAAGGGATCTGGGAGCTATGATTAGTAAGAATTTAAAACAAAAGGATCAATGCATGAATGTTCGTAATAAGGCGAATAGGACACTGGGATTTATTAATCGAAGCGTTAGTAACAACACACCTGGTGTGGTTCTTAAGCCATATCTTGCTCTGGTTAGGCCCCATTTAGATTATGCAGTTCAGTTTTGGTCGCCGTATTATAGAATGGATATAAATTCACTTGAACGTGTCCAACGTAGGATGACTAAGTTAATTCCCCAAATTAGAAATCTTTCATATGAAGAAAGATTAACAAAGCTTAAGTTGCATTCACTGGAAAGGCGAAGAGTTAGGGGTGACATGATAGAGGTTTACAAGTGGATAAAAGGACATAACAGGGGGGATATTAATAGGGTATTAAAAATATCAACACAAGACAGAACACGAAACAATGGGTATAAATTGGATAAGTTTAGATTTAGGACAGACTTGGGAAAATACTGGTTCAGTAACAGGGTTGTTGATTTGTGGAACCAATTGCCGCGTAACGTGGTGGATGTGGGGTCCCTCGATTGTTTCAAGCGTGGGTTGGACAAGTATATGAGTGGGATTGGGTGGTTATAGATAGGAACTGCCTCGTATGGGCCAATAGGCCTTCTGCAGTTACCTTTGTTCTTATGTTCTTATTCAGGATCCAAAGTAACCACTTACCAAGACCCTCAGTCACCACTGCAGATTTCTAGTCACCACTCAACAGGGTCCCCAGTCATCACTCATCAGGACCCAATCACCACTCAACAGGGCTCACATTCCCTACTCACCAGCACCCCAAGTTACCACTCACCAGGATACCAAGTCACCACTAGCCAGGATACCAAGTCACTACTCAACTGGACTCTCAGTCCCCACCAACCACTCGTTAGGGTGCGAAGTCACCACTCGTTAGGGTGCGAAGTCACCACTCGTTAGGGTGCGAAGTCACCACTCGCCAGGACCCAGTCACTACCCAACAGGATTCACAATCACTACTCAACAGGACTCAAAGTCCCCACTCACCAGGATATCAAGTCACCGCTAGCCAGGACCCAGTCACTACTCAACAGGACTCACAGTCCCCACTCGGCTTAGGCCATAGACCCAAAGTCAATTAACATTTGAATAAAAAATAAGCTATTTCGGAAAAAGTCTTACCTCTCCTATGTTCATTTTGCAGCAATGTTGAGAGAGTCAGGTGTTTGGAGCGTGAGAGTCAGGTGTAGGTGTCGGTACATATGCTACCATGCCAACTCAGCATCCTCCAAACTTGCTACAACTGTTCAGTTCTGTTTACTTGAGGAGGTAATAAGGGCAGGCACTGAGATGCTCACTTCGTCCCGACTCTACAAGTATAGTATCGCGTAGTATCTGTGATGGCTCCCGGTTTCCCTTCTTCCCAGAACATAGCTTCAGAGCCTCTTATTACTGACCATTGGGTAACCTATACCGTCCGCCTGCAGACGACATGGAGCACATATTTGCGTGGGAGAAAGACACTGCTATATCCCCTTTGGGGACTGGTCAAATCGTCTACTGCAGTCTCAGATACCGCACTAGAAACCACTTCATTCACTGGCCCGGATTATGTCCATCACATCATTAAACTTCATTTAATAACTATATTCCTGTTAAGTAGATTTTAATTATTAATAGCATTATATTGTCGTTTTAATACTGAACACGTACACATTTGCGAAACGTCCGAAGTGGTAAAAATTTTAATGTATGCACTTAGTTGTACTTGCGAGGGTTGAGCTCTGCTCTTTCGGCCCGCCTCTCACTACTTTTTTTTCACACCACACACACACACACCCCAGGAAGCAGCCTGTGACAGCTGACTAACTCCCAGGTACCTATTTACTGCTAGGTAACAGGGGCATAGGGTGAAAGAAATTCTGCCCATCGTTTCTCGCCGGCGCCCAGGATCGAACCAGAGACCGGATCATGTGACAAGCGTGCTGTCCGCTCGGCCACCGCAAGATTGCAGTGTGCAATGTTGTCAATGTACGGAATGTCTTGTATCCTTCCCTTTGACCTTAAACCTGCGCTTATAATATGCACAACGACCTCTGAATGCGATGATAAAACGAGAAGCATTGTAAAGTCAGCCCTATACCCAGCATCATATTATATCAATCAAAATTATATAAACCAATTTTCTTTAAATTAACAACAAGAACATAGGTAGCTGCAGGGGTCTTATTGGCCCATACGAGGCAGCTCCTATCTATAACCACCCATAAGAACAAAGGCAACTGCAGAAGGCCTAGCTATTGGCCCATACGAGGCAGCTCCTATCTATAACCACCCAATCCCACTCGTAAACATGTCCAACCCATGCTTGAAACAATTGAGGGACCCCACCTCCACCACGTTACGCGGTAATTGGTTCCACAAATCAACAACCCTGTTACCGATCCAGTATTTACCCAAGTCTTTCCTAAATCTAAATTTATCCAATTTATACCCAATGTTTCGTGTTCTGTCTTGTGTTGATACTTTTAATACCTTATTAATATTCCCTTTGTTGTGTCCATTCATCCACTTGTAAACCTCTAACTCTTTGCCTTTCCAGTGAATGCAATTTAAGCTTTGTTTCTAATTTGGGGAATTTAACTTAGTCAATCTACGCTGGACACGTTCAAGTGAATTTATATCCATTCTATAGTACGGCGACCAAAACTGAACTGCATAATCAAAATGGGGCCTAACCAGAGCAAGATATAGCTGAAGAACCTCACCAGGCGTCTTGTTACTAACGCTTTGATTAATAAATCCCAGTATCCTATTTGCCTTATTACGAACATTCATGCATTGATCCTTTTGTTTTAAATTCTTACTAATCATAACTCCCAGATCCCTTTCGCAATCCGACTTCGCATTCGCAACACCATCTATACAATACAATACAATACAATTTTATTTAGGTAAGGTACATTCATACAATAAATATTTACAAGGATTGTTTGACTTATAGGTAGAGCTAGTACATACAATGCCTAAAGCCACTATTACGCAAAGCGTTTCGGGCATGATAAACTTAAATGACAAGCTTAATACTAATTGAGCATAATGAGTAGAATGAAAACAAGAAATGAAAACATAGATGAAAAAGCAGCACAAATACAATTATGTCGACAAACAGCGCTCTTTAAAGAAAAAAACAGACATTGGTTGACAATAGAAGGGTAAGGTAGGTTACAGGGAATTTATTAGGTATAGCTTCGCTTTTAACTTAAACTGGTTGAGAGAGGTACAGTCTTTAACATGGTTGGGAAGGTCATTCCACATTCTGGGCCCCTTGATTTGTAGAGCATTTCTAGTTTGATTAAGTCGTACTCTAGGAATATCAAAACTGTATTTATTTCTGGTGTGATGCTCATGGGTTCTGATACAACCTTCTATGAAGCTTTTGAGATCAGGATTGGCATTATAGTTTAGCGTTTTATATATGTATAATACACATGAGAGAATGTGCAGTGACTTAATGTCTAACATATTCAGAGATTTAAGTAGGGGTACCGAGTGATGTCTGGGGCCAGAATTGGATATTGCCCTAATAGCAGCTTTGTGTTGAGTAATTAGAGGACGTAAGTGATTTTGGGTAGTAGAGCCCCAAGCACAAATACCATAGTTGAGATATGGATAGATAAGGGAGTAATAGAGAGTCACCAGGGCAGGGCGTGGTACATAATATCTGATCTTAGAAAGAATGCCCACAGTTTTTGAAACTTTTTTTGATATGTTTAGAATGTGTCCCTGGAAATTAAGCTTGTGGTCAATGAGAATGCCCAGGAATTTGCCATCTAATTTGTTACAAATTTGGGTATTGTTTATTTTGAGATTTATTTGATTAGAGGATTTATTGCCAAACAGAATATAAAAGGTTTTGTCAATGTTAAGGGTGAGTTTGTTGTCAGTTAGCCAGAGATGGACTTTATTTAGCTCAGTATTTACTGTGGCATTTAGAGCAAGGGTGTAACAAACTAGGCTGTTGTAAGAATTATCCAGAGTGGTTTATTGACAAAAGAGAATGGGAAGCTGAGCCGCATGGTGACCTGACCCCCAGGGGAATTCGCGGTGGAAATAACCAACGCTTTGTTCATAACTGCGTATAATGAATCATCCTATAGTATTCAGTAATTTAGAGAAAATTAGCCTTTATTCATTTTGCATTAAAATTGTATTGTATAATAGTACTGGATACAATATCAAGAGTATTCTAATTATTGAGTTTAAGTCACCATCAGTGACGTCACGAATCAGATCTAACTTTTAAGGCGGAGTGACCGGCGGTCATAGGTCAGCAGGGTTGACATGTCTAGTATTTCTCAAAGTTCAATTAACCATTCTGGGGATCGGGAACAGCTCTGCCGTTAGATGTTTGTAATTTAATTCAGTAAAATAATTCAACCAGTCTGGATCAATTAAGTACAACAGAGGTTAATTGTTATAACTTAAACCTTGCTAGTAACTGGGTAGGACTTTGACTAGGCGGAAGGATACAATACTCTGTCTGGGGTAGTCCAGACAAGGAAAAAAATCAGTGTGATCTGCCGAGCAGCTGGGAGAGGTCAAAACATCTTACCTCTCCCCAAGACCAGCCCCAACACCGAGAGCTGGGAAACATAGAGGTATAGTTGCTATGGTTATGTATAGAAATAGTCTTCTCATTTGCCATTCAGGTCAAGTAGGGAGTGTTAAAGTGATAGGGAGTGAACACATTTAGATTTTGTTTTAGTTTTCTTTTAATAAATTAAATTTGTTATTAATTTGCATTTTATTGTTTCCATTTGGTTATGTGTAAACTTGTCCTGGTCACGTGGTCCACACGAGGCAGAGTTGCATTGGGCGCCGATTCTAACATCGGATCGGAATTCATCATCCCCATCTAATTAATTCCACACTCAAGTTTCCGAGGTTATAAACTACTAGTGGGGATCAAGCCCCAAGGTTGATTAATTAGCGTGATCGATCCAGACCTCGATCATTGCTCTGTGTTACGGGTCTGGTGGTGGCAGCAGAGGTGACTCTAGGGTTTTGTTCAGAGCTTAGGTCACGTCATACTGGGTGTAGAATCCTAAGTCGGTCAATCGTCTTAGGACCACGTGGCGTGGAGTTGGCTTTGGTAAAAGTTTTGGAGTCCCTTGGTAGAGAAAAAAATAAGTAAGAATACGGGTAGAGGGCAAAGAAGGAAGGAAGTAGAGAGAGGAAGCTAAACCCGTGTTACAAGGGGATCAGGACTGGAGTAAATGAAGGTTGTGTCGTCAGCAAATAGAATTGGTTTGAGGTGTTGGGAGGCATTTGGAAGGTCATTAATGTAGATAAGAAAGAGGAGAGGGCCAAGTATGCTGCCCTGGGGAACACCAATGTTGATGGGTAGGGTGGGAGAAATTGTATTATTCACAGAAACATATTGGAGCCTGTCAGTAAGGTAGGATTTGAGGTATTGTAGGGAGTGCCCTCTGACTCCATAATGATGTAATTTAAGAAGAAGGTTTTGGTGGTTGACAGTGTCAAAAGCTTTACGCAGGTCCACAAACAACCCAACAGGGAACTCATTTTTATCAAGAGCTGTATGAATCGAGTTAAGCATACTAATAAGTGCATCGTTAGTGCTTTTTTTTGGTCTGAAGCCATATTGGCAAGGGCTAAGTATATTGAGTTTGGCTAGATATGAGTAAAGCTGCTTATAGATTAGTTTTTCAAAAATTTTTGACAAGTTTGGCAGGATAGATATAGGTCTGTAGTTGTTAACATCTGTGAGATTACCACATTTGTGGACAGGCGTTACTCTCGCTTTTTTTAGAATATCTGGGAAGGTTTGGAGTTCAAGTCAGATGTCAGATTCAGATTCAGATGTTTATTCAGGTAAGGTATATACATACAAGTGATGTTACATTAATGGATTGATATATAGATAGAGCTAGTACATACAATGCCTAAAGCCACTATTACGCAATGCGTTTCGGGCAAGAAAAACATTAATATCTAGAACTTAATACTAATTGAGCATAAAGAATAAAAGATGTTGAGAACAAATACAAATAAAGATAAAAAAAAAGGGGGAACATGACTGAAAAAGCAGCACAAATACAATAGGTTGACAAACAGTGTTGATTAAAAAAAAAGAAAAAAAAAGAAAATAACAGACATGGGTTGACAATAGAGGAGTGAGGTAGATTACAGGGAATTTATTAGGTAGTGTTTAGTTTTTATCTTAAACTGGTTGAGAGAGGTACAGTCTTTAACATGGTTGGGAAGGTCATTCCACATTCTGGGCCCCTTGATTTGCAGAGCATTTCTAGTTTGATTAAGACGTACTCTAGGAATATCAAAACTGTATTTATTTCTGGTGTGGTGCTCATGGGTTCTGTTACAACCTTCTATGAAGCTTTTAAGATCAGGATTGGCATTATAG